ACAGACACGCGGGGAGCTCTCATACAGCAGCAGCAGCAGCGGCAGCAGCTGATCTCCCAGCAGCAGCACCAGCAGCACCAGCAGCAGCCGCCTTGACTCTTTAGGCAGCAGCAGCAGCAAAGGCAGCAGAAGCAGTAGCAGCAGCAGCGGTGACTTGATATGGCGCCGCAGGAAGAGGCGCGTGGCGGTGCCCCTGCTGCTGCTGCTGCTGCAGCACCAGAAGCAGCAGCAGTGAAATCCGAAGCAGCAGCAGCAGCAACAGCCGCCAAAACTGAAGCAGCAGCAGCCAAAACTGAAGCAGCAGGAGCCACAACTGAAGCAGCTGCTGCAGCCAAGAGCGAGGCACCAGCAGCAGCAGAATCTGCAGAGGCAGCAGCAGCAGCAGCAAAAACAGAAGAAGCAACAGCGTGTAAGACGGGAGCAGCAGCAGCAGAAGATAAGACAGCAGCAGCAGCAGCAGCAAAGACAGAGTCAGGGGACACAGCTGCAGCAGCGGGCGAAGATGCCAAGGCGGATCTCTCCTCAAGCAGCTGCAGCAGCAGCAACAGCAGCAGCAGCAGCCCCGGGACGGGTGCTGGCTCTGCTGCAGAGCCAGAGAAAGCAGCAGAATCCCCAGCAGCAGCAGCAGGAGCATCGCCTGCAGCAGCAGCAGCAGCAGATGCTCCAAAGGGCTCTATAAACTACGCGGAGCAGTACATGAAGGCTATGGGCCTCAGCAGCAGCAGCAGCAGCAGCTGCCGCGGCTTCGACTTGGCAGCAGCAGCAACAGCAAGAGACCTGCCCCCCGACGACAGCAAAGAAGGAGAAACTTCGGGTTTTAAATTTCCTTCTTATGAAGAGTTTTTGAAAGAAGAACAAGAAGAAGAAGAGAAGCAAAATGCCAGCAGCAGCAGCGGCAGCAGCAGCAGCAGCAGCAAGTCCAACGAGCGCCTGGACGACGCCTTCGCTGCGTTCATGACGGAGCTGGAAAGAATCCCCTCCTCAAATCCCAAAGGTAGGGTTTAGGGTTTAGGGTTTAGGGTTTAGCAGTCCCTCGTAGGCGGCAGCGGTGCAGTGCGTTGCGAGGGTTTAGGGTTTAGGGTTTAGGGTTTGAGTGTGTGCGCAGCTCGGCGGGAAGCCGCTGCTGCTGCTCTGGAGGGGCAAACAGTAGCAGAAGCAGCAGCAGCAGCAGCAGCAAAAGTTGTTGTTGCTGCTTTTGGCACTGCAGCAGCAGAATGTGTCCGCCTAACTTCCCAGGCCTTCTCAAACCCTTTTCAAGTTTTGCTGCTGACCCCCGAGGCCTCCGAAGAAGCCATTCGCAAACAGTACAGAAAGGTCCTAAACCCTAAACCCTAAACCCTGAACCCTCAGAAGAAGGCATTAGCAAACAATACAGAAAGGCCCCAAACCCTAAACCCTAAACCCTAAACCCTCGCCAGGCCGTGCGGGACTGGCGCAGGGGACGGACACAGGCTGGCGGTGGCAGCGCAGGAGATAACGCGCACCTAGGGTTTAGGGTGTAGGGTTTAGGGTTTAGGGTTTAGGGTTTAGGGTTTAGGGTTTAGGGTCGACTGGGATGGACGCTTGCAGTTTTCCCAAAGTGGAGTTTAGTTGTCGACGCGGTTGCGGTTTATGGTTTGAGGGTTTAGGGTTTAGGGTTTAAGGTTTAGGGTTTGCGTGCTGTTGCTGCAGCTGTCTCTGTTGATTCATCCGGACAAATGCAAACACGAGCTTGCCCAAGAGGCTTTCCAAAGTAATGTTTGCTGCTGCTGCTGCTGCTGCTGCTGCCTGCCATGCTGCTGCTGCTGCAGCGGCAGCTGCTCTTTTGTTTTTGCTGCTGCTTGTGTTGCTGCTGCTGCTCATGCAGCTGTATGTGTTGCTGCTGCTGCTGTATGTGTTGCTGCTGTTGGTGTTGCTGCTGCTGCTGTTTGTGTTGCTGCTGCTGTTTGTGTTGCTGCTGCTGCTGTTTGTGTTGCTGCTGCTGCTGCCGTTGCCTCTTCCCACAGTCGCCGCTGCACCCCAGCTTCCCACCAGCGCCCCCACAGCAGCAGCAGCAGCAGCAGCAGCAGCAGCAGCAGCTTGCTTCGGGTGTGCGCAGTCGTGAACAAGGCCTACGAGAAGCTGCAGGAGGAAGGAGTTCGTTTGAAGTACGAAGGAGTTATTGAAGAAGCAAAAAAAAGAGTTTTGAAAAAAAGAATTCAAGAAAACAAATCCCGAAAAGCAGGTCCGCTTCAGGTGTACAGACACCTCAGCTGTACAGACACCTCAGCTCTACACACGCCCGCGCTCGCCCGGTGTACAGACCTCCAGTTTGCCCTGCTGCACTGCTGCTGCTGCTGCTGCTGCTATTGCCGCCGCTGTTGCTGCTGCTGCTGCTGGTGCTGCTGTTGCTGTTGCTGTTGCTGCTGCTGCTTGCGCTGCCGCTATCTCCGCTGCGGCTACCGCTGCTGATGCGACCGCAATCGCCGCCGCCGCTGCTGCTGCTGCTGCTGCTGCTGCTGTTGCTGCTGCTGCTGCTGCTTGCGCTGCCGCTATCTCCGCTGCGGCTACCGCTGCTGATGCGACCGCAATCGCCGCCGCCGCTGCTGCTGCTGCTGCTGCTGCTGCTGCTGCTGCTGCAGCAGGGGAGCGTTTGCTGCCGGAGACTGAGGAGGCGCTGCGGGGGGAGATTTTGGAGTGCTGCGAATTGCTGCTGAAGGAGCTGAAGGAGAAGCAAGACTACAAGGAGCGCTGCAGAGCAGCAAATGAAAAATACGAAAAAGAAGTAATTTCTTTTTCTTTCTTTTTCTTTTCTTTTTATTTTCTCCTTTTTATTTTCTTTTTCCCGAAATCCCCCTTCCAAGGGCTCTTCAAAAAGCCCTTTTGCTGCTGAAAAGCTGCTGCTGAGAAAAAGAAACTACGGGGAGGGGCTAGGGTTTAGGGTTTAGGGTTTAGGGTTTAGGGTTTGGGGTTTGGGTGCAGAAGGAAGACAAACTGATTGAAGAAGAAAAGGAAAAATGCAGAGAGAGAAACGAATGGGTCAAAAAGAGAGAAGAGCGCGTCAGCAGCTGGAGAGAGTACCAGGTAAACCCTAAACCCTAAACCCTAAACCCTAAGCTCTAAACCATAAACCCTAGTGGCGGGCCGCGCTGCGTCTTCAGGCCTTTCCCCACGAGTCCTTGCAGCCCTTGAGGCGCCGCAGACACCCAGGGGCTAAAACTAGCGCCTACGGCCCAGGGTTTAGGGTTTGGGGTTTAGGGTTTAGGGTTTAGGGTTTAGGGTTTGGCGTGCAGGAGGGTTTGAAGAAGAAGGAATTTGATCACCGAGCCTTCACGGGGCTGCGGCACGTGAGAGAAGAAAGAAAAGAAGATGACATAATTAAAAAGAGACAAAAAGTCCAGGGCATAGACAACTCCTACAAACTCAACTGGAGATAATTGCTGCTGCTGCTGCTGCTGTTGCTGCTGTTGGTGCAGCGCTGGTGCAGCAGCAGCTCAAGCGGCAGCTGCTGCTTGTTTTGTTGGTATGCAACAGCTCCTGCTGCTGCTGCGAATGTGGCTGCTCTGCAGCAGCTGCTGCTGTACTGCGCAGCAGCAGCTGCTGCTGCTGCTGCAGCGCTTTCTGGTGCTGCAGCAGCAGCAGGCGGGCAGCAGCACGCTGGCCGGGGTGTATGTACACCAGAGGCCACGGGGTGTGCAGGCAGGTGCTTGAGAGGGGGGCCTTAGTTGGGGTGTACAGGCAGCTCGAGCTGGTTGCTGAGTGCTAAGTGCTAGCTCGTGTCCCTAAACCCTAAACGCTAAACCCTAAACCCTAGGGTTTGGAGCCCATAAACTCCGGGCGGTGGGCAGCGGCAGCCGCTGCTGCTGTCTGATGTGTGTTAACACTAGTGCTGCTGCTGATTCGGTGCTGCTTCCCTTCGCAGCAGCAGAAGCAGCAGCAGCAGCGAAAGGTACTGTACGTAGACTGCAGCTTGCTGCTGCTGCGAGCGATCTGTCTGTACACATGGACAGCTTCCCTTCACCCCCTTGGGCTGTCGGAGGGGAGCAATTTCTTTTGGGATTTTTAAAATAAATATTTTTGAAGCAAAACACTTTGTAGCGTTTTATTTCATAAGTATTCATTTCAATTGACTGCTGCTGCCGATACACACTGAGCTGTACAGACACCGCAGGCCAGTGGACCGCCGCCGGCGCATGCAACTGCTGCAGCCTCGCGGCTTCCAGGAAGACTAATTCTTGTTAATTATTTGAAAATAATTTATTAAATTTAGTTTTGATTCTTCGGAAATAAATGTGTCTTTGAAGCAGCCGCAGACAAAGGCTGGCGGCTGCGCTGTACGTACACCGCAGACCTCCCTATACACCCCAGAGCTGTCGGAACACCCCAAAGCCCAGAGCCCGATGTGCTGCCTGGCTTCTAGTGGAAACCGTTGACAAGCCCCGGAGACGCAGCAGCAGCAGCACAAGCAGCAATATCTGCAGTTCAAGAAGCAGCAGCAGCAGCAGCAGCAGCAGCAGCTCGCGCAGCTGCAACAGGAACCGGGCCTGCACAGCAGCCCAAAGTCGGCTGCCGCAGAGAGAAAAGCACTTGAAGTTTCAGAAGCTGCAGCAGCGGCAGCCACTACTGCTGCTGCTGCGGCTGCAGCAACTGCTGCTGCTGCTGCTGCTGCTGCAACAAATGGAACATTGCTTCTGCTACGGCCCTCGAAGTATAGCAAGCAGCAACACGTGGGCCCAGTGTAGCAGTTCTTTAGGTGCCAGTCGCCTAGGGAAGCAGCAGCAACAGCAGCAGCAACACCAGCAGCAGCAGCAGAAACAACGGCAGCAGCAACACCCACAACGACAACTGTAGGACCAATTTGCCGCACTCCTGCTTGACAATGCGGCTGCTGCTTTTTCTCTTTAACTGCGTCTTTGCTGCTGCTGCTGCTGTTGCTGCTGCTGCTGCTGCTCATGTGCAGCGGCTGACTGTTTCGGAGCTGAGAGACATGCTGCGTACAGCGCGTGGAGCAGCAGTAGCAGCAAACAGAGAAGCAGCAGCAG